CATTGAAGGGGATAGTGAATATTAAATGTGTGTTTAATTGTTCAATATATGTAATTTTTCAACTAAATAAATATTTGAAAGGAAAGAAATTATTTATTCAATCTACGTCGTCAATCATTTAGCAATCCTGAGACAAATATTTAATATTTCGAACCGTTTAAAAAAAGTAAACCAGTTATCTGTTTTATGTAACAGCATCGACGTAGTGTTAGATACTATGTATAATTAAAACCGATAATAATTCGTTGGAAGTGATGCAGAATGTATTCAAACAAAAAGCTAATGTGATTTTGATAAATGGTGAGTATTTCACGCTTGTGTAGAGTACACAGGAGTTGCCCTTTCGTACTTTTGTTTTGAATTTGTTTGTCTTTGATTTTAATTTAACAATAGATGTTTATTTACAAATTATCAAAACCAAACAGCTAATTCTGTTTTACGGAAACAATAATAGTCACACTAAGTATCAAAGGCACAGTATATTCAAAGGTTTCTATGTAATTGTATTATTGGTTGCGTTTTGATTTCTTTAGGCGAGGAGCCTCTTTTGAATAACCTATATTTTGTATTTCAGTTGAAAATCAACAAGTTGTTTTCTTTAATTTATAATCTCAGTAGTCTCAGTGACACTCTGTCATATTATTTCATCACCTAAAATTTTTCGTCATTTGTTTTAAAATACATAATAATCTAAAAGGCCACATTTTTGTTTAAATAATAAACATGGTGAAAGTTAGTTTGCGTATGTTGGGTTGCACATTTTTCCGCTTCTTTAAAAAATGAACTATAGAAATGACAGTAACTTTCTTTTCATTCAGATGCATTCTTGCAATCACTAAAACTCAAAAATTGGCGGTCTTATAGCGGTAGATTGAAATTTTTAAAAACGGTCACCATTTAGGAAAATTAAAAATTGTAAATTTGGTGGTTGGTAATATTGTTTTGTAAAGTTATGTTTTTAAGCGTATGTAAATAGGTTTCGGCAGCTAAAGTTTACCATATGAATAACGAATTTTGGATAAAATAAAAACATAAAATTTGACCAAACATTGAAAAATCGAGAAAGTGAGAAATCTAAAAACCGAAAAATTGAAATCCTAAAAGTCGAAAAATCTGACATTATAAAAAAACGAAAAATTAAAATAGTAAAAAATTGGAAAATTCACAAATTAAAGAATTCCCAAAATTGAAATGTTGAAAAATCGAAAACTTGAAAAATCGAAAAAACGAAATATTAAAAAAATTAAAAATTGGGAAATCGATACATCAAAAAACCGTAAAATCGAAAATTCTAAAAACCAAAAAAAGTAAAGTTTAAGAATTCGAAAAATTGAAAAAATGAAAGATCAAAAAAACAAGAAATTGAGAACTTGAGAAACCGAAAAATCGAAAAATCAAAAAACCGAGAAATTAAAATATTGAAAGGTGGAGAAATCGAAGTATGCAAAAATCGAGAAATCGAAGATTCTAAAATTAAAAACAAAAATCGAAAAATCGAGAAATAGAACATCAAAAAAATCGAAAAATTTAAAATCGAAAAATATAAACATTTCGAAATATTAAAAAAGCCCAAAACTGAAATATCGAAAACTTGATAAATTGATAAACTGAAACAAATTGAGAAATATAAAAATTGGAAATTTAAAAAAATCTAAAAATTGAAAAATAAAAACCTGAGAAAACCGAATAATTTAAATATGGGAAAAACGAAAAATTGAAGAATTGAAAAACTGTAAATTTGAGAAATCAGGAAATCGAACAATCGAGAGGTCGAAAAAACGAGAAATAAAGAAATTGATTGATCGAAAAATCGAAAACTTAAGAAGGCCAAAAATTGAAAAATTAAAAAATTTAAAAATTCAAAAATTCAGAAGCAGAAAACTCGAAAAATCAAAAAATTGGGAAATCGAAAACTTGAAACATCGAGAAATCGAAACATGAATACAGATCGAGAAATCCAAAAATCGAGAAGTTAAAAAAATCGAAAAATCTAGAAATTGAAATACCCAGAAATTGAAAAATTTATCATTGAAAAACTGAACAATTTAAATAAAAAAGAAAATTGATAATTCGAAAAATCAAGAAACTGATCAATCGAAAAATCGAAACATAGAAAGCTTGTTAAATTGCGAAATCGAAAAATTGAAAATCGACAAACAGAAAAATCGAAAAATAAAAAAAATAAAAAATTGAACAATAAAAAATTTTAAATCCAACAAATTGAAAAATCTAGAATTCAGAAGTTGACCAATCGAAACATCAGCAGAAAATGGGAAAAATCTAATATAAAAAAATGACAAATAGGAAAATCGACAAATCGAAAATTCGAAAAATCGATAAATTAAAAATTGAAAAATCGAAAACCTCAGAACCCAAAAATTGAAACATAGAAAAACCGGAAAACCGAAGAAAACCAAGCAATCGAGAATTGAAAAATCTCCAAACCAAGTTCCCAAAAATTGGGAAATCTAAAAATGGAAACATTGAGAAATCGAAACATGAATAGAGATCAAGAAATCGAAAAACCGAGAAGTTAAAAATGGAGAAATCTAGAAACTGAAATAGCCAAAAATTGAAAAATTAATAATTGATAAACTCAGTATTTTAATTTCAAAAAAATCGGTAAATCGAAAAATCGAGAAATGAACAATCGCAAACTCCTTAAATCGAGAAATCGAAACACTGAAAATCGATAAATAGAAAATTCGAAACATTAAAAAAAAATCAAAAATCGAAGTCCAAAAATTTTAAATTCAACAAATTGAAAAATCAAGAGCCGAGAAGTTGAAAAATCGAAATATCGTCAAAAAATTGAGAAAAATCTAATATTTAAAAATTGAAAAAGAGAAAAATCGAGAAACCCAAAAATTAAAATGTAAAAAAATCGAGAAATTAAAGAATCGCAAAAATGAAGATTCGAAAGGTTGAAAAATCGAGAAACCGAAAAGCCGAAAAATTGAAAATTAAAAAAAAGAAAAATTGAAAATTCGAAAATTTCAGAGATCGAAAAATTGAATAATTGAAAATCTGAAAAATTGAGAAATCGGGAAATAGAACATCGATAAGTCGGTAAATCGAAAAAACTGAAGAATCAAAAAATTGAAAAATCGCGAAACTGAAATATAGGAAAATTGAAAAATCGATAAATTGTAAATCGAGAAATAAAAAAAATGAAAAATCGAAGAATCGAAAATTTCATTGAAACTGAAATTTGATAAATCGAAATACGTAAAATCGAAAAATTAAAAAACATTAAAATCGAGGAATGAAAAAATTCAACAAATTGAAAAACCTAAAATGAAAAGTTGAAAAATCGAAAGATCCAGAAATCCGAACATCAAAAAATTCGAAAAATCTAGTATTCAAAGATTGACAAATAAAAAAATCGAGAAATAGAAAAATCTAAAATTTAAAAAAATCGAAAAATTAAAGTAATTAAAAATTCAAGAACCGAAAGATTGAAAAATCGAGAAACCGAAAAATCGAAAAATTGAAAAATCGAATATCCCAGAAACTGAAAAATTGGAAAATCGAAAATTTGAAGAATTGAAAAACTGAAAAATCAAGAAGACGGGAAGTGGAATATCGAAAAGTTGAAAACTCGAGAAATTGATAAATTGGTTAAGCGAAAATTAAAAAATTAAAAAACGAAAAATTGAAGAATCGAACAATTGAAGAACAAAAAACAGAAGAATCGCAAAACTGAAAGATTGAAAAATTGAGGAATCGAATAATTGATTAATCGAAAAATCACCAAAAATTGAAAAATTGAAAAATCGAAAAATCGAAATTAGGAAAGTTGAACAATCCCCAAACTCCAGAAAAATTGGGAAATCGAAAAATTGAAGAATCCAAGAGATCTCGAAAAATCCGAAACAGAGAAATAGAAAAATTGAAACATAAAAAAAAACTTAAATACGAGAAACTTAAAAATCGAAAAAAAATTAATTGAAAAATTGGAAAGAAGAAAAACGAATCGAATTGAAAAATTCAAAAACCGAAGAATTGGAAAATTAAAAATGGAAAACTCATGAAACTGCAAATCGAAAAATTGTAAAATCTAAAAACTAAAACATCTAAAAGTTGGAAAATTGAAGAAATGTAAAATGAAATTGATAAAAATTATAAAATAGGAAAATTGAAAAATCGAAAAATTAAACAATTGAAAAATTGAAAAATGAAGAAATCGGGAAATCGATAAATTGATTAATCGAAAAGTCGAAAACTTATAAACGCCGAAAATTGAAAAATCGCAAAACTGAAATATCGGAAAATTGAGGAATCGACAACTTGATTAATGAAAAATCGAAAACTTAGAAACGGCAAAAATTGAAAAACCGAAGAATCGAAAAATGGAAAATTCAAACATTTTACAAATCGAAAAGCCGAAAAAGCGAAATTCGAAATGTTGAAAAATCAGAAAATCGAGCAATCGAATCATCAAGAAATCTAGATATCTATACATCATTAAACCGTAGAATCGAAAAAATGAAAAACCGGAAAACGAGAATAATAAAAAATAATAAGAAATCGACAAATTGAAAAATCCCCGAACTTTTTTAATACTGTCGCCATTATGAATTAACGAAAAATTGAAGGATAAAAGAAATCCAGAACTAACTTAACAAACAATATTTTGGCCGACTCTACAGTTTAAAATAATTGTAAACGGCATATAAAAATGATAAAACTATCCATGATACCTTTGAATATTTATTTCAAGTTGCACCTGGAATTCAGGCAGACTCGTCAAGCACCCTGTATATTTTGTGAAACGCCTTCCATACAATTGTAAAAGTTCCAGTGTAAACTTTAACTGTGTCCCACGTAACACGAATTGTGGTAAAAACTTAACTTTTTTTTTTCTTCAACGAGCAACAACTTTCAAGTCAACTCGCTTCCGGTCGAACTTTCAGCCCGTCTCATTTCACAAAAATGCCGGCGCACTTAAATATCACAAACCGACTACATTTCCGCAAATCGTCCGCCATCGGCCATACCTCAAACGCATCGTTGAGCGAGTGCATCCTCATTCTTTCCCTCTCATTGCTCTCCAGTCTTCTTAAGTTTCTCTCCCGCGCGCTGATGCACGACTTCCTCCTCCTCGTCGTCGTCCCGCTGGACGCACTACCACTTGATGCGCTCCCTGCACACCCAAACACTCAATTTTTACATAAAACACCGTACGATTCCGCCATACCTCCGTGCTTTCTTCGCTTTCTTCCCGTCGCTTCGTCGCTGCTCGACTCCGTCAAGTCGTCTCTGCCGTTCATCGCGTGCTTGCCTAAATCCAGGTCTTCGACTTCGACATCCTCCTCTTCTTGCCAGGGGGTTGACAGCTCGAGGGACCGCATTCTCCTGCTACGTTCTGTGGGAAGAAAACGAGTTAGTGTGTTATCCGGCGTGTTTTGTGGGGCGTTATGCGGAATTATCGGCGATTAACGCGAATATGCGCCATTGTTGGCGGTTTATGGGTTGTAAAACGCGCCTTCTGGGGTTTTATTTCGAGAGGTCGGCGTGACGGTGGTTTGGCGATGAGGAATTTGGTAATGGGTGCGGTAACGATGGTGGAAACGGGAGTTTCAAGGGCTAATTTCGAAAAATAATTGCATATTTATCAACGGTGCTGTTATCTTCGAGATTGCTAGACGGTTTTTAAATACGTTGTTGTTCGTAGTTTAAAAATGATATATTATTTGCGGTTTATCGCGTGGGCTGCAACAAAGTTGTTCAAAAAAAACTTAATGGCGATTTTGTTCTTGGAGACACTAAGTAGGTACGTCTTAGAATGCTCTCAAAGAAGACATAAAATGTTGCAAAAATCTTGTCAGAACTGCTAACAATAAAGCAGAGAGGTATAATCGTGTCTCTTTGCCATTTACTATTCCACTCAATTCGGGTCTTATTTATTTCATCTGTTTTCAGAGCATAAAATGGAGGTTTTTTTCAGAAATATATCCTTTATTCTATACTTGTATTTTCAAACAAACAAAATGTTTCACATTTAAAGGTAGTAGTATTAATTTATTATTTGCCTCACAGGCTTAATAAGATTCCCAATAGGGGTACAAATTAACTTAATCTACATAATACAGAGTTTTATATAATAATAATTGTTCTATTCTTTCTGCTTGACCACCCCTTGCCAAAGTTCCCTTTATCTTCCGTACTTCTTTCATCCAGTCCAGTCCTCTTCCATCATCGTTTAGCACTTCTTCCCTACTTTCCTCCGAGCCCTTCACATCCTTCCAGCATATGCTCTATTGTTTCTCCCTCTCTCCTATCCTACACCTTTTGTCAGTTTCATCCATCCAAAAATTATTCTCTCTCTCTTCATTTCCACACCTAAATCTCGCCATCATTCTTTTCTGCTTTATACTCTCTCTCTGTGTGTACTTTGGTACTTCATCCTTTACTATTTCTCGATACTTTGCATTATATCTAGACTACGATATTCTCGATCCGCGTTATTCCTTATCTCTTACACTCAGTTCTTCTGTCATACTCCTTCCCATTTCTCTCATTCTCTCTATTTCTTCACATGCATATCCCTTTCCTTCATAATACTTCTCTTTCGTTCCAAACATGTTTTCCCCCTTCCTTTCTTATTTCTTTCCAACATTCTTGCAATATTTTGCAATCATCTGTCTCACTAAACTTCTATTCAAATCCAACGCCCTTTTACCCGCTTCCACTCTCATGTTCTCTCTTTTTGTTTCTTCTCTCACTATATACCCCGGCGTATACTTTTCCAATCCCAATGTCCATTTTAAGTATTTTTCTTGCACTCTCTCTATTTCTTCATATTCCCTCCATCCCCAAATCTCAGCTTTGTACATAAATACACTTTTGATCAAACTATCAAACATCATCATTCTTCTTTTATAATCATGTCCAGATGTTCTCTCTCCTATTCCCCATACTATTCCTGTCAGTTTGTTCGCTTTTCGATCCATTTCTTGAATATGCTACTCTATCTGAGTTATTGCTCTTTAATGTATATCCTAAGTACTGGAATCCTTTCACCTGTTCAATCTTCTTCCCTCTCCATGCCCACTTTTCCTTCTCCTTTCTTACTTTCTTCCCAAACACCCCCATTTTTGTTTTTTCCACATTCACTTCCAATTCCTTTCTTTGTACGTAATTCTCAAAATTGTAATCATTGTTTTCATTTCTTCTCTTTTCTTTACCACAATCACCAAATCATCTGCGTACGCCAACGACCACACTTTCTCTTTGCCTACTACCACCTCTCCTGTCTGTGCTTTTCTGAACATTTCATCTATATCTCATAGATAAGCTGCAAACAATGCGGGACTGAGTGGGCATCCCTGTCTCACTCCTCTATTTGTATAAAAACTCTCGCGCTCTATTCCATTCACTCTCACCTTATTTACTATTTCTTCATTTATTCCTCCCATTTTTGTTACCAGGTACGCATCTACTCCCTTTCTCCTCAAATACACCCACATTTTCTCTCTATTCACGCTATCAAACGCTGCTTTGAAACCTATGAACAATGCGTACATTCCTCCACCCTCTTTCCTTATTTCTCTTCCCACTAAATGCTGCAGGATGTACACATTGTCCATAGTACCTCTTCCTTTCCTAAACCATGCCTGACCGTCTGGTAACATACCCCGTGCTTCCATCTCCTTTCCACTCATCTAGTATCATTGCGTATATCTTGTACGCCGTATTGAGCAAGGTGATCCCTCGGTAGTTCTTCACATCACTTTTTTGCCCCTTTTTAAATAATGGGATTATTATACCTTCTCTCCACTGCCGAGGAAACCCTTTTCCCTTCCAAACTCCATTTACCACTTCCCATATTCTTTCTTTCACTCCTTCTGTCCAGAAAATCCACGCTTCGTTCTGGATTCCATCCCCTCCTGGTATCTTTCCTCTTTTCAGTCTTTCAATCTGTCGTCCTAATTCATCTTCTTTTATTTCCGAACCTCTCCACATTTCTTCCGTCGTTGTGATTCCTTTATTTATTTTGCAACATTTTTCCTCACAACCTCCCAATAATTCCATAAAGTGTCGTTTCCATTCATGTATTTTGATCTTCGTACTGACTTCAGTCTTCATTCTTCGTTCCTTGTTTATATATCTCCATAATAATTCTTCTGTTTTCAGGGACTTTATTATCTTCTCTTCTTCTCGTTTTTCTCTATTTCTTTCTTCCCATTTTCTCCTATAATTCTCTCTTGCTTTTAAGTACTCTTCTTTCCTTCCCTTGTTATTCTTCCATTTTCTTAATTTTTCTCTTGCTTTTCAACTCACTACATTCTCCGTTCCATCAATTATTCCCCTCTTTCTTTTTTCCGTAGCTTCTACAATTAGGTTGCTCAGTTCTGCTATCATAGCTTCTATATCTTCGTTCACTTCGAATATCTTTTTTTCTAGTCTACTTCTGTATCTTTGAATTCCCACTTCATGCCATATTCTTTTTTCTATTTCTCTTATTTCGTTTCTTCTCTTTTGTTTTTCGTACTCTTGCTCTTTTCCGTTGATTTTTATTTCTAGTGGCGTGTGGTCTGATTCTACCCTTTCCCACATTTAAAGGTATATAATATACTATTTTTTAATTTTTACTTCCTATTTTACAATTTTTCGCTTTTTATTTTCTTTATTTGTTTATTTTTTCCGTTTTTCAATGTTTCGGTTTCATAATTTTTCGTATTTTCAACTTTAATTTTTTGAAAATTTCAATTTCTCGATTCTAAATATTTCAATTTTTCAATTCGCAATTTTTCAATTCGCAATTTTTCAATTCGCAATTTTTCAATTTTGTAATTTTTCATTTTTTTCTTTTTCATTCGCTCCAATTTTAGATTTTCGACGCCTCAGTTGCTTAAGTTCTCGATTTTTATTTTTCGTTTTTTCGAGTTTGCACTTTTTCGATATTTCAGTTTCTCAATTTTTAATTTTCCTATTTTTCATTTCATATTTTTCCGTTTCTTCTTTTTGATGTTTCAATTTTACAGTTTGCAATTTTTCCATATTTTTTTATTCGAAAAATTGAAAAATCGAAAAATTAAAAAAGTGGAAAAAATTGAAAATCAAAGAACTGAAAAAACGAAAAATTGAAATATTGAAAAAAAAAACTTAAAATCGAAGAAGAAAAAACGAGCTGAATCGAAAAATTGGAAAACCCAAAAATTGTAACACCGGGAAATTATAGAATCGTCAAAATTGTAAACTCGGAAATCTGTAAATCTGTAACATTGCAAGCTCGAAAAGCAGGAAACTTGAATATTCAAAAATTCAAAAATTAAAAATGGAAAAATTAAAAATTCTAAAATTGAAAAATAAAAAATTGAAAACCGAAAAATTGAAAAGTTACACATTAAAAAATATATATATATAAAACCAGAAAAATTGAAAATCGAAAAATTGAAGAAACGAAAAATTGAAAAATGAAACAAAAAAATTAGAAATGGAAAACTCGTGAATTTGCAAATCGAAAAATTGTAAAATCAAAAGGCTGAAAAATTTAAAAATGAAAACTCGAAGAGTTACGTATCGTAAAATGAAAGCAAAAAAAATTAAAAATTGAAAAATTGTAAAGTTGAAATATTGAAAAACTTGAAAACTCGAAAAATTACAAAAATCGGGAATTTTTTTTATAATTTTTCAAACAAGCGGGCCGTGGGAAGTTCTGTTGAAATAACATTCGACCGATTTTTTACAATAGTCGTAGAGCTTGTTTTTTGAATTCATTAAAGTATCATACTTTAGTCACCCACACCGCCACTGTCGATAATTCGAACGCCTTATATTACGAAAACACACTTGTTTATATTTGGTCAGATTTTTAAATAATTTAATATTATGTGCCATAAGTTATATTATTGATTTTTAGTACTTAAAAAATTAAAAAAGTTAGATGTTAATCTCTTTTAAATACGTATTTACAATTCGGAATTTCTCTAGTAAGTAATTCTAAATTATAGTGTCTTTAAGGTCTTTATAATATTTGGAATCTTTAGAATCATTGGAATTTGTCAAAGCTTTGTAACATTTTGGAAACTCTGGAATCTTTAAAATCTTTGCAATTTCTATATCCTTAGGACTTTTAGATTTTTGGCATTTCTAGGATATTCAGCATTTCTAGAGTTTAAAACATTTTTTGGATTTTTGTCGAGCGTTTTAACATTTTAACTCTCGACAATGTTTAAAGTAGCTGGATCTGTGGAATCTCTGGATTGTTTAAAATTCCTGGAATTTTGTACTCCGTCGAGTTTTTGACATTCTTGGAATCCGTAAGTTTTAGAATAAGTATTTGGAGTTTTTTCAGAAGATCGGTAAAATTTCTCTAAACTTTCTAATTTGTAGGATCTTTAAGATCTTTAAAATGGCTGG